CATTCTTATTTTCCTTCTTTGAAGGATAAAAAGTGTATCTCTCCTATTTCTCATCGCTCTTAATTTTATCATTCCTGATGGAAACGGAGTACGAGGGACCAAATGACATCACTCCATCTTAAAGTAAACCAAATGTGTCCAATTGTTGTTATATAACACAGTGTTGTCATTTTGATAAGTTGGCTACTAGAACCAGTGATCGTAACAACCGCGACAACTAAACTCGCTTGCTCTCACACTATGTATGCATATGTATGGATTTTATATCTATGTGTTGTCTTCAAGTTCAAATATTGATGGCATTTGCTTGAGATTTGTTGTTGTCCAGATATTTGTTAATTGTTACTTAGATTGGTTTTTTTTTGCGCTTTTATCTTGGTAGATTTGATCTTGGAAGCTTAGGGATTCTAGGGTTTGTTATTGGTTAGATGATATAAAAGGCATTTTGAGGTTTAATGAGAGTTATCCTAATCTGAAAAGACTTGCCCATATATATAGACTTCACATTTAGAGTCAACTTGGTGCCTCAATTTTTATACCTTTAAATGCCTTTAAATTGCAATAGGACTTTCTAGTCTTATCATTTTATGTTTTTCCTTTTTTGCCAATAAATTTGACCTCCCCTCATTTTTCATCCATTATTTTAAATAAAATACGTTTATTCTAAATGTCTTGGATTAAAAGACAAATATATCTTTTTTCTATTCCAAAAAAATAAAATAGAGAGTGAGTTTAACTGTCCAAATGTAAAGAGTTAATTGGAGAAGAAATATTAAAAGTTGACACTTTATAATAAAGAATTGAGTGAGAATAAAAAGACTATTGAAGATTGCTATAAGGGTAAAGTTGATTCTTTTGTCTAAAAGTTTGAACGAGAGCCACCAAATTAAAAGGACTATAAGATATTTAAATTTTAATTTGCAAAGAATATCCACTTTTCTGATAAAGGATGTACTAAACTCATAATTCATGAGATACTTTTTATGAATGTCGATTAAGTATTATGCTTCGGAGGTCACTGTAGTGTGGCTGAACATCGAACAGTCCGCCGTTACAGCCTTTAATAAATAGATTATTTATATCTTCTGTCTATAAATGCAATAGCAAAAAATGCTCAGATACCCGTGAGAGGCCTATTTGTTGCATTACCACATAAAAAAAATAGGGTCATAAATTCCTCAACCATGACCGCAAAAAGGATTCAGTGACCTCGAAAGAATTGAAAGAGAAGCAGTATGAGGAGAAAACACTAATGCAACATTCAGAGCTACAATGCATGCAGGTCACAAGAGCATAGTAGTGAATTCAGTAACCCACCATTTCCAACTGGTTTAGCACGTGATTAACTTAACTACATGGGCTTAAATAAACAGAGCAGTGTTACATAAATTTCGGGCAATCACCTCACTCAATCCTACAGCGGGAACTCGAGTCTGAGACGTCCAAGATATGACAATCAACAATAAGTCATTTCACATGACCAGAATAACTTGGACAATAAGGCCAACAGAGAAGCCTCTTCCCAACAAGCTGGACACCGTAGCAGATATCCAGTCATCAATGTCTATTAACATGGGATAAAAAAATGTCCCCTCGTTATCAGCCTCACAGTTAGTGTCTAGACTTCAGACCCGTACATCAGACATTTGCTTGATAATACATAAACCTACACTAAAAACATACAACAATACTAGAGTGATCAAACAGCTCTGCCTCTATTATTTGCCTAATCCATGTAAGCACAGCAATGGGCTGAAGAACCAGGGGAACCACACAATAACCTGTTGCCATGAAACATGTAGTCCTGAAAAGTTAGTTGTTTCAACACCATTACGAAGTTAACTGTTCCTCGTGTTCCAAATAAGGCTTCCATCATCCACGAAGTCAAGTGCTACATCTTTATCGAATGATCTAAGAACTAATGAAACAAGTCACTGGCTATCAGGTTCACCTGGGCATTGTCGGCTCCAACCACCCGAACCAGCTCTGCGGTGCCCTCGTTTTCGTTTGTTTTTAGGAAAACGGAACTCTGAGGCTAAACATGATTTCAGAGTTGATTGCCCTTGAGACGTGTCACTTTTTGATACCGGGTCAAGTTCTGATGATGGAAGGAGTGGATTTGTGCTTTCTTCTTCTCCACTATCTTCTAGGTCTTGATGATTCTCCATAGCTTGTTTCTGGTTCTTCTCGAAAATGTGCAGCTCTAATTCAGCTGCTTGATTATGTATAAAAATATTATCCAAGATCTGCAGATATTAATGCTAAAAGAAATAAGGTACCAGATTCTCTATTGTTTAGAGGAGGAAAGTACATAATTGTGAAAGAAATAGCAGCTGAAATGCCCTCTGGTGGAAGACAGCAGCTGAAAGTGTGTGCATAGGCTTGTATTGTATTGTAATTATCCTCGACTCTTCTAGAGTCTTTTCTTGAAATGCCCTCTTGATGATTGATAATCTCTTATTTTTCAATCATTACATGATTTGCAAGTCAAAGTGCCTATTAAGGTGCAGGTTTTTGCTTGGATAATAGCTCTTGATCAAATTATTGTCTTTCCCCTGATGGTGCATTATGTGTAAAAGACGCAGTGAAAGTGTGGATCTTCTATTTCTCCATTGCCCGGTGGAACTGAAACTGTGTTATAGAGCTTTGGGTGAATATTTGATTTTGATATTTTCAAGAGGTTTGCTTATCTCTATTTGAAGCCAACTATGCTGTTTTCGGGAAGGGGTGTAGAGTATGTATCTGGTGGAAATGTGTGATTATGTCAATTTTTTGAGTGGAGTGGTTGGGAAAGAATAGCAGAAATTTTTTTAAGGAGAAGAAGAATTGGTGGAGTTTCTTTGGGATAGAGTGAAATTTTTGACTTCTCTTTGGGCGTCAAGAGTTTAAGGACGTGCCATTTTTTCTTTTAGTGTTGATACGATTGCAGTGTGTAACTAGGATTATCTCCTATTTTACAGGGATATAATGTTTTCAATGTATTTCCTCTTTTATTTCCCTCAAAGGGTGGATTTCTTGTCCACCTCTTTGTACATTTTACTTTATTTAATGAATTTTTTTTCCCTATCAAAAAAAATACTACTTACTACAAGTAAGATTGTAAACAATAATGGAAATTTGTCACGTTACTTGTAAAGAATTTCAGATCAATTCATCAAATTAAACCAATAAATCACTTGATACGGTTGTGCCTCGTACATTTCAGGTTGTGTATGTTTGTGATTTCATGAAAAACAGGTGTTTTCTCTACGATCGTTACCACACATATTGAGAGAGAGAGAGAGTCCACAAAATGAATCAATGTAAGGTTTATTTATCCAATCATTGTCAGTAAACCCAATCTTAGATTAGTAACAGGTGATTGAGAAAAGGTCAAATACATTGCCGCATATTTTGAGGCATGAGTGATGGAATGCAAGATTGATACCTTTTGAAATATTGGTTGGATATCTTATAGAATATCTTATTAAGAATGTAAGAGATCAGAATCTGAGATTTTTGGTGCCAATGAGTTTGGTTTTTGCAAAAACCTACAAGCGTTATATCACAACCATTGTCGGGGGAAAAAAGAAGGACGAGATAAATTTATTATGTGCAGATTTGTTTACGATTTAAAGCGTGTACAACTAAAGATAGTCCGAAAAAAGAATGTTAGGAATATATTATTATGTACAAATTTGTTTATGATTTGAGCATGTACAACTAAAAAATAGTCCCAAAAGACTCAGCTAAAGGAAGTGGTGGAAAAGCAATTTACGTTAGAAATGTAGTATATATTTGGTCCCACTACCAAAAAAAAAAAAAAATCCCCACATCAGCAACTATTTATATACATTACAATCTATCACTTGTTGAGCATAGAATTAAGATCCATTGCATCAAGTTACAAGATCCTAAAGTTCATTATGAGTAGTATTTCTTGTATTCACTATCCTATCTAGTATATCAAACAGGTTGCAAAGTTGACCATCAATTGGTATATAGAACAAGTACCTTCTTTTTCCAACCATTATTTGATCAAGAGTTGTTGCTTTTGAAGCAAGAGAGATGTGCAGTGATGGGCTGGAAAATGTGTAGAGTTGGGGAATACTGAAGTTGGGTCTATGTTGGATTTGGCCTATAACCCATCTTCTAAAATATATGACCCAACTATGTGTTTAAAGACGAATCATGTCTTCTCTCACATTAGGGCCAAGGTATTGAGAGGTGCAATAAGGGAGAGTGTGCTGGGGGCTAGCGGAATTCTCAATCGATGAGGTGCAAATGTGATTGTGCTGCCAGCTAAGAATGGTGAGGAGGTACAAGGGAGTTTCGAGATAGGAAAAGGAAGTGTGAAGATGAATGTGATGGCAGAGACTGACGTGGATGATGATGAAGTGGAGAGAGAGATGATCAAAGCTAATTCTGGATTTTTCTAGCAACAATTGAGGGCGGATAAGATAGGTGAAGTAATGTTTGAAGCCAACTAACTTCAGCTCTTCTCCAGATGAAGCATCAGAGGATGAAGAAGATATGACTGGAATTCAAGAAGATGAATCTTTGAGAACTGATGATGCATCTAAAGGTAGTCAATCCATGGTTGGTGTTGAGGACCTGTTTGAAGAAGTAAAGGATAGATTTTATGCGAAGTATGATGTTTTCAACCGAAATGCCAATATTACTTCAGAAGAGATTGGTGTGATTGTTCCTTTCAAACAATCAATTGAGGAATGTGTTTGTTTTGAGCCTAAGCCCGATAGATCTCTCTCTTCCCAGAAAAAGCGGTTACTGGAAAAATCATCTGAGATAGTGGGGGGTTATGGTTTGGGTTTGGGGTATTCAGAGTTCGTTTTAAATTCTGAAGTTGTCTTTGTTTTTGCAACTTGTCCTGCTATCTACTCTGATGAGTTAGATCTCTGTATCTCTAAGTCTTCTCCCAATTTTGCGCATGATAATCATCAAGCTGTTTGAGGATGTGGTTCTTATTTAATTTTAATGCCAAACTGTCATGAGGAGTATTCTAAAGGGTTGATCTTAGACCAATTTCGTATTGAGGATAGTGAGTCTGGTAGTGTTAATGACAGTAAGACTTTGGTAGATCTTGGGTCTATGAGACTGGGGGAAGATGAGAGGGGTAAGATTAAGAGTTGGTTGAAAGACTTTAACTGTGTTTCCTTTAACATAATGGTATGAATATCACTAGTGAAGAAGAAGAAAGGAGGGAAAAAAAAATAAAGGTGTGCCATGTTTAGGTGTAGGTGGAGACAAGAGAAGAAAATCTAAAGAGAGTGCTAGTGTATTAGGGAACTTAAGAATCTTAGGTCTGGTATTAATTATGAAGGTGTGTCGGTAGCTGCTCTTGGGGATAGTTTGGTAAAGCCATGCAAAATTGTGAGTTGGAATGTTAGAGGAATGAGGTCTAGGAGAAAGAGAGAATGTGTTAAAGAGATTCTGGAGAAGATTTGTCCTGTCATTATAGTATTCTAGGAAACAAAGGTTGAAAGGATTAGTAGAAAATTTATTCCGAGTGTTTGGGAGGTTAGATTTAGGAAATGGGCTTTTTATCTTCTTGTAGAAGATCTGGGGGTGTTAATTATTTGGTATAAGAGAGTTGTTATGGGTGTGGATATAGTGGTGGGAGTCTTTTCAATATCGATTAAGTTTAAGACTTTGATATGCTAGGGAGTGGTGGTTCACCGGTGTTTATGGTCCTAATTGTCCAAGGATTAGCATGGATATGTGGGAGAAACTCACAATTTTTTTTGGCCAATGTCGTCCTAATTGGTGTATGAGTGGAGATTTTAATGTTATTAGAGTTGTTTCAGAAAAGATGGGGGGAAGTAGGGTTACTAGGAGCATGAGAGACTTCATCACTTTATTCAAAGTTGTGGATCAGTTGATCCAGCATTGGCAAAATGCTAGGTTAGGTTTACGTGGTCAAATCTTCATGAGAATGCAGTATGTAAAAGACTAAAGACTGGGTAGATTTTTTATGTTTGATGTGTAGGGGCGGCCCAACAAATCTGAAGGCCCTAGGCGAGAATATAAAATGAGGCCCTATTAATAAGCAATAATTATTAAAATATATTCATTTAAAAGCAATTTTTTTAGCTTTTTGAGATGCAAAAATATTGATTAAACTTTTATATTCAAGTTTTGTTAATATATCTTTTTCAATGGATAAAATAGCTAATCCATTTAATATTTCTTATGACATAATTGATCGGAGATAATATTTTATTAATTTAAATTTTGGAAAAAAAAATTTTGCTGAAGCAACTATTACCGGTATAGTTAACAATATTCTAAAGCTATATATGCATTTGGACAAAAATCTAATCGTTTTATATAATTTAGGGTTTCTGTTGGAGTGTTAATTTCATATTGTAGGACTTTTCTTAAAACAGTCAATTCTTGAAATAAATCTAAACCATCAATATCAAAAAAAAATCATGCTTCAAAAACTTTTCAAGGTTAAGGCAATAACTTTGCAAACTATCATCATCTAAGGATTTTAATTTTTTATAACAAAATAAAAAACCAAAAATATTTTCATATATTTTGAATTGTTCAAATCTATTATTGATCGAAGAAATAGCTAGATCAACTATAAATAAAAAATACTCAATTCTAAAAGATTCTTCAGCCGATAGTGTTACTGCATTCTCAATTATCGATGAGAGAGATATTAAGAGATAGACGTTAATAGAGAGAGAAATGTTAAGAGATAGATATTACTAGTCATATATATCTTCCTTGTTGCAGAAGTCTATCATTCTTCTATAGCTGACAAGAAGTTTAACAGTCTACAATAGCTGGCAAATGGAGCAATTTTCTAGGTAAGCAAAATTTGGACCCTCTCAAATCAGCCCATCCAAAATATAGTTACTCAGAACTAAAACTCCTACCTAGGGGGTGGGGGCCCCAAAATTTTGCAAAAATTAGGGGCCCTAGGCGGCCAACTAAATGGCCTAGGCCTAGGGCCGGCCCTGTTGATGTGTGGGTTGATATGTACCCTAATGTGAGTCAAGAAGCTTTCTCGAGAGCTGTGTCCAATCATCATCCACTAGTCATTGAGAGTTGTCCGTTTAGGTGGGACCCAACTCCATTTAGATTTGAAAGTATGTGGTTGGAGCATCATTCATTTAGAAAATATTTTGAGAAGTCATGGAATGAGATTAGTGTCCAA